CTAGTCTCACAACTGGACAAAAGACCACAAATGGCAGATAGCATTTCTTGGGAGACTACACATGTCTACTCCCCCATGAGACAAGCAGAAGACTATATTCTTAGCATCCTTCAAAGTCCCCAGCCCCCAACTTCTGTCTCCTCACCTGGACTTTCTCAATTTCTGTTCTTCACTGAGATGTCCCTGATTGAAAATTCATTTGCAGCGCAGAGATAATTGACACAATCTGAACCCAATGAATATTCAAGCTCAATGTGATCTGCCTCAGGTTACCCACTCCCCTCTCTGCCCCCAAGTACCCTCTTGGCCCCTCCTCAGGGAGCGATCTTGTATAATTCTAGTCATTACAGTTTTACAACATCAAAATACCTTAACCATATAATAACGATAACACGCAGACACTCAGAGGAAAATGGTCAGTTCTTTCTCTGGTAAGAAAAATATGGGTCTCCACCCCACCCCCACCCCCCAAAATAATCATAATCCCAGGATGCCCCAGAATGCAGTTTCTTTTCATGACGTGTTGTGAAGCACGTCAGCTGCTCCTTGTTGCTGTGCAGATCACCCAACATCGGGTCACCGAGAGAGAGACGGCAGCGCTTGCTGGCACAGCTGATAGGATTAGTAGACGGTGCTTTGTCAGCCCTGATTGAGTCCAAGAAAGCCCTCAGCACACGCAGGTGAGGTGTGAGGAAGGGTGGATGTGGGGACCGCGATGTGTCTTGGTTGTGTGGTGCAAATGTTTTCTCTTCGGCAGTCTATTTATATTGTCTTTTCTGTGAAGTTTGCAGTCTTGGGGGTTCCTATCAATAAAAACCTGTCCTTTATTACTTATCTGCTTTCAGGATTGGCCACATATATCTCACAAGATTTTTATGAGGCTCAAATAAGATTATATGTGTGAAAGAGCTCTGAAAATATAAAGTTTTGTGCATGTGGAAGGTAGAAATCATTTAATTACAAATTTCACATAAACAGATAAATAACTTATCTCAGATTTAGAGCATAATTATATATTTCTCCGCAATCTACAGTACCCCATCTCCTTTGTTTCTTGCCAGGTCTAAACAGGTATATTATTTATAATCTTTAAGGGTTAAATCCTTCTAAAGCAGTTGATATTTTCTAAAAACCAGCAATACATTCATTTTTAAAGGAAAAGCCACAAAATTACAAGATGGTAAAATAAGTATTTAAGTAGAAAATGAAAGTGATGCATAATAATATTTCAAAGCAGATGAGAGATGAATATATTGCACTGTATTAGATTATATCTCTTTTATGGTATAATCCAAATGTTATAAGATGTTTCTCCTAATGACATGAGAAACACTTGAATTAAATTAAAGGCAGTATAGATATTATCATTTGTAAAACTTGCCTTTTAGAACAGAGGGAAAACAAACAGGCTTGGGTTCCAAAAGTACAGATCTAAAAAGCTTCTGAACACTAAATCATCAGTCTTTCCCTCATAGGTTGCTATGGTGACAACTGGGCTACCACACAGTCTCTCAGTGCCTGCACTTCTGCAGTGAAAGCTTTCACTGAACACATGTTGGGTTTTTTAGACACACACCATCATCAAATACAAAGACATATTGGAGGCAGCTTTATCTGTGTCATTTGCAAAACAGAAGTTGTATCAGTGTTCTTTATCCTGTGCTGAAGGGCCCCTCATGGGGTTATAGAATTCATGCATTCATTCATTCATTTGGCAGTTATATGTTGAGTGCCTACTGTGTGACAGGAAATGTACTAGGAACTGCCTACAATCCCTGGTAAAGACAAACAAGTAAATGGGAAATTCTGATACAAGATTATGATGGCTCTCCTTGGGGTTAAATACAGGGATCCTGGAAGTATTGGGAGGTTTCCTAGAGGAAGCTGTCTAAAATGAAACAATGTACCTTTAGGAGTTGAGGATGATGGGTGAATGAGGTGCAAGATATGCCCTACACAGAGGGACCAGCATGTGCAGTCTAGAGGAAAAAGAGATCAGGAAACCTCAGGAGAACTGAAAGTGCTCCAGTTTGAGCTGGATCAGAAATGTGCTATATATACACACTTGTATGTGGAGGTGGAGTTGCAGGGACTAAGAGGGTTTGGGAAGGGAAGGAGTATCTATAGAAGAGGAGTAGCAGGAAAGGAGATTGGAGATGTAAATGAGGCAGCAAGGTGGCCAGATCAGGAAAGGCCTTTGTGGCAGGCTAAGGAGTTTGAATATTACCTTGAGGACAACCAGGAAGTTATTAAGGGCGTTTAATGGAGAAGCGTGACTTGATTTAGCCTTTCAGAATGGCTTTGTGAAACAAATTGGAAAACAGGCAAGAAAGGAATAAGAGGCAAGATCAGAAGAAAGACAACTTTCATTAGACCACTATTGTAATAATCTAGGGCGACTGTGGTTTAGTCTATATGAAGATAATGGAGAAGAACAGTGGACAAAAGTAATCAGATTGAAGACATTTATTACCAGGGTAGTGTGAAGATCACTTGGTGGTTTATGCCATGAGGGGGTCAGGTGAGTGAAAGGAAGTCAAGAATGACTCTGAGGTTCTGACTTGAACAGCGAAGTGAAAGGTATTTCTGCTATTGGGTCACCATATTCAATTCTCAGTTCTCAGTAGGGAACTCAGAAGCATCTTTCAACCTTAATAGTTCATTTCTATCTCACAATATATGTCCCCATGCTCATAATTTTAAAAACAATAGATTGTATGAATCATGGTGGACCATCACTTTCCTGAGGTTAGTATCTGAGAAAGCTATGGGTATAGAAAGTATGAATTACTCACCTCTTTTTCCCAAATAAAGAATCTTAAGATTACTGACTTCACTGCTTAAGAGAGCTAAGTAGATTGAAAAGATACAAAGATTTATGGGGTAAAGTATCTTTTGGGGCTATAGGAAGAAGGCAAATTGATTCCTCTAATCCGCTTACTTCAGGTTGTCTCTAAACTCACAAGGTCCATTCCTAGGCTTGAGAGTTTGCTTAAGAGAGCTAAGTAGATTGAAAAGATACAAAGATTTATGGGGTAAAGTATCTTTTGGAGCTATAGGAAGAAGGCAAATTGATTCCTCTAATCCGCTTACTTCAGGTTGTCTCTAAACTCACAAGGTCCATTCCTAGGCTTGAGAGTTGAGGACTCAGAAAAATGTTGTTTGGAGGGCAAACAAATGGAGATTGTGGACGTTCAAATACAATTTTCAAGGATCATGGTCCTTCCATGTAGTACACTGGAGCATAAGGATCAGACTGTTTACCATCCCTTTGCTACTTAGAAAATTCTCCAATTCTGAATAAAGGGTATATAATTCATACATGTTGAATTCCATCTCCAGATAAGGTTTAAGTACAGCAAATGTAATAAATCAAGGCCCATAACCCAGCTAATGATCCCTATCTCAGACAGGTTCTTGAGCTTTTTTTGAACAAATTTGTCAGCATCACAAGTGCTTTTTCTGCCTGTCATGTACAAGGCATCAGCAAATACTGAATGGACCACTTGGACCTGACTTAACTGCCCTTTGGAAAGTTCTGTTCAATCAGCTGGGCACAACTGGGTTATTTTCCTCATCAAATCCTCAAATCCTTGAGGTGGGTATTATTATTATCATCCCTCCATTTAACAAGGATAAACTTGAAGCCCAGAGGGGTCAAGAACTTTAGGCATACTGACACTCGGCTTGAAGGGACTGGGGTGCTCGCTTGAAAACCTGGTTTCTGAGTTCAAATGCAGTGCTCTCTCCATCGCAATGTGCTGGGCTCGTTCCCAGCGGCCAGGAGGCGGGGGAAAGGTTGTTCCCCACCTAAGCAGCCTGGCTTCCCAAGCCGGAGGGAGGCGCCTCATCATTCTTTTCCTGCGACACTAAGCTGCCAACCGAAGGCCCTTCTGATGCAACCCCCCCCAAAGAGAATCGCAGCCTTTGAGATCCGGGAACCAACGTGCTGTGTCAGTCCTGCAGCACCGGCCCGGCTGGGCTCCGGGGGAGGGGGACCCGCC